AAGAGGAGAGGGGAGGTGATGTAATCATGTAAATTGTGCTTGTTTGGATGAATTTTTAAGACGGAGGGAAAAAGGTGAACCTTGTTTGTTTAGACGATTGAGGAGAAGGAAAATAATGTAAAATAGACATTAATGCAGTTAATGATATAAGAGATAAAGAATAAAATAATTTATAAAATTCGGGGCAAGAAAGTAATTTCAAAAGCATTAATTTTTTCCACACCGAATACATCCATCTTTGGAGGGAAATGAAACTGAGGGAGGGACGAATTTTGACTTATAGTTTTCCATCCCTTCCTTCCAACTTCTCAAACAAGGGAAAATTTAAAAAGCCTCTCCTCTCCATTCCCCTCCAACCAAACATAGGTTAGAGTGCCTACAAGTGGGATTTCTCTTTCCTCCTTCGATTAGGTTTCTTGAAATTGAGTGATTATGTTCGCCCAATTCTTTCTTTCTTCGCCTTTTGAGTTGAAATTCTTGAAAGTTAAAGGATTTTTGGAAGAATTCGGGCTGTGGCCGAGCTCATCAATGGCCGCCGAAAGCGGAGATGAATAAAGAATAGGTATAAAAAGAAAATAAAACGCAAAATAAAAAAAGGGATAAAAAGGCATAATTGCAAGGAAAGGTAAAAAATAAAGGAAATGTTTTTTTGTCCAAATTCATGATATGGAGATTATTTAATCACATGGGCTCCACGTCGCACAGTTTCGGCCAGCTTGGGTGACATGTGACCTTTTTCTGAGTACTTAAATTTTCAATGGGTAGGGGATTAATAGCAACCTTTATTTCAATCATATGAGACGAAATCCAAATCAACCATAAGTTTTCCCACCTAGGTAATGATGGTTTGTATACTGGAAGCAATACTTTTTTTGGACATATTTCTATTTTGAATCAAATAATTATGTTTAGCCGATGCGTTTGCAATTTCTTGGGTCGCTACGGAAACAGTCCCTTTGTATAATTACAAGGGCAACTGACCCCCAGACCCCAACCAATTGGGAATATACTGGGTATGATGCGTTTGCAATTTACTTTATGTATGTATTTGTAGCTTATCATCTTATTAAACATTGAACATAATATTGTGTGACGTTGTCGCAGAGAAGATTATATTATCGGTTCAAAGAAGGCTCATAAACTGCGATATTAATAGACAAACCTAGCAGTATGGTTATAATATAATTTAATATTACTTACGAACCTTAGGGCTTTGGATGAATGATTATTCAGAGGTGGAGGATCCAAAGCATTAAACTTGAGCAAGTGAAGTGAAGTTGATGTTGCTCCCTAGTTTGTGCTTTGGTGAAAAAATTCAACCATTGCAGTTTTGACGACACATTGAAGAACAATTGTTTTATAATGACAATGAGACCGGGTAAAGGAAGCATAAGATACCAATATGTTTTATAAGTTCATGCTTCAGCAATTTGGATGACTCTAGTATTATCATAAAGAAGAGGTGTAGAAGCATCACATGAATACTATAATCGGCTAACAAACATCAAAGCCATATAATTTCTGAAGTGGTAGTAGAAAGTGCTCGAAGTACTGCCTCTGTTCTAGACCGTGATACAACTCTGTCTGCTTCTTGAACTTTTATGTAAGGGGAAAACCAAGAAAAATGCAATGAACGACGATTTGTTGGATTACTCGCACAAGTAGAGTCTGAGTAAGCATGGCTGAAGCGTAGTATCACGAGAACATCACAAACACTGAGATGATGTTCCCGTAAGAGTCGTAGCACATGAAGCAAATGCCCAAAATGAATTGAAGTATGAGTACTCACAAACTAACTCAAAATATGAACTTGAGCAATGTTAGGCTTGGTAATAATAAAGTAATCCAGACTGCCTACATATGTAGATAGAGAAAGGGATCCTCAAGAGGCGCACATTAAGTGGAATGAAGTTGTAAGTGAAGATCCATAGGTGTAGCCACTAGGGCGGAGAACGGGTCGGGTCGGGTCGGGTCGGAGATTTAACACTCTCTGGAACCAAACTGGAGATCCCCAAAATTGGATCTCGAGAACCTAATTGGTTCCAAGAAATCTTCATCCTTAACCGAATCAAATTGAAAGTCCATTCAGTTCGTATATTCGAGTCTGATGGGTCCGTTTGATATGAAATTTGTAGATCTTAATATTTTTTATAATGTTTATTAAATCTCCAAATTACATGCTAGATGATACATGATTATGACAGATAACCACAAACTTCTCTTAATTTCAAAAGTATTTCGCCAATTAAGAATAGGTATAGATGGTTAAAATCTTTTTTAATTCACAAAAAGAATAAAAAGAGAGATAAATATCTTTTAGTTGCAAAATACTATTATTCGTGGTGATTATTAATTGTTTCTTTCATGGTGAGACTTATTCGTGCTGAGTTGGAAAATATTATTAATCACATGGCACGTTGTCATTTTATTATTTGGTCATTGTGTCTTAGTGCGCCAGGGTAATGACGCCCTTGAAATGAGCTCAAATAGATTATTATTGTTAATCCATGCAGGTGGATTAAGCTCCGACATAATAATAAGGTTGAAGGGTACTAGTTTCGGAAAAACCAAGATGTTAATTAATCAAATTGTCAGTAATTAACGAACATTCGATACCTTAAACACGGGGTGATATTTCGAGAAGCCCGAGTAATTTGGATTTGGAAAAAGTAGTGCAATAATATATTTATAGTGAATTGATTTATTATTAATAGGCTTAGAAATAGGGTGGTGCATAACTCAAGTATACATTTTCTTATTGAGAGACCTAATCCTAACCCCCCTGCTGTAGCCTATAAATACACCATATGGGGTCTCATTCTCTTGATCGACATCATCAATTTCACGCCCCTCAAAGAGAGAGAGAGAGAGGGCCGTGAAATTAGACGAGAGCAAGAGAGGGGAGTTGGCGACCATCGTTCGGGAGATCGTCGCTCACACGACGCCCAACATGGATGAAGTGATACGACAGATGACTTCAAGGTCGAAGGGCAGAACAGTCCATCCCGCAGACCATGTAAGTCATGTCAGAGTCGAAAAATCACAAACCATAAAATCTTGATCCTAAACTTTAGGTTTGTTGTGCTTTTTTAGGATTCAATTAACGCGTAATTTGACCGACATTCTTCGCCGAACCCAACATGCAAGACGAAAAGTGCTATTTTCTCTTATAAACTGTCCAAGGGTACACTAGTAAATAGTTAAAGCACAAGTGATCCGCAGAGACTTAATTACTACTTACCATTAGACATCTCCATTTCGAGTTTGGCCATCTGAAAGAATCAGCATCTCTGACTCCAGTCACCACTCCACTAAACCTGTAAGATTATAATTTTCTTCTGTATAAAGAAAAAATGGGAGAACATAAAGATTGTCACAATACTTTTTTTGAATTTTATGGGACCTTCTTTCAGGAGAATCATCCAAGCCAAATCTTGTTATGAATCTCGTCCCAACAGCTGCATTAGAGGCGGTGCACTTCAAATATTTTTGGTAAGGTACAATAAAATCGGCATGGCCTCCCCTGAGATGCAGAAGACAATAAACATACAAGCATTTAATACACAAGAATGGTAGCAAATAATCTCTAAACAGTTGAAAGCAGGCATACAACTTATGATCCCATAGATGACAAGTTGATGGAAAACATTACAAAAATTGAAATTTGGAATGGTTATTTAGCCGACCTCCAATTTGGAGATGCTGTTGAGGTTTCAATCACTCTCGCATTAATTACATCTATCTCTCTACTTAAATGTACTACTCGATACAGAACTTTGTACCTCAACAAAATATTTGAACATGGAACCTCATGATTCCAATCATGTACAATGAGGTTAGTACATTTAAGTAGAGAGAGAGAGAGAGATAATTAAAGTGAGAGTGACTAACTTTCCAAACAAAACACTCAGGTGCAGTTAATATTAAATTAGTTTTCAGGTTTAAGATTGAGGACTAAAATGTGGATCTACAATTTCGGACGTAGCGATGATGGGACATGCCCTTATATGTGAGCCTTAAAGTGAACTTGAAACTGACCCCAGGAAGGAACATAATTTATGCCATGATAAAAACATTTTTCTCATCAAGGTGTTACACTGAGTATTACTTGAGGACTGTTACAATCTTTCTGATAACATTAGGCACTGGAAACTTTCAGCATTTAGCAGATAACAAAATTTATCTAAACTGAATTATCTCAGGGACCCAGGAATTTTAATATTCAGCAAAGTTATATAGAAATCCAGTCAAGAAGTTTATGTTACAGTACAATGTCCATCTTTCCAAATTGATTGGATCTTTTTTCTACTTGTAATAATAATTTAATAGAATTATATTATTTTGAGGCATTTTTTTATCTTATGTCCTTTGCATTTACTACTTATTTACACATATAGATCATTATTAGCAATGAGACATGGTTGCGCAGATGGCAATCAAGGAATATGACTTTAAAGCTATAATCTTATCGATGGGTGTTTCGAGATGGGTCATTGAATGACCTGGTAAGACTTGTGCATATAGACTTGTGCATATGATGCATTCTCGTTAGACGAGGATGTTACATTCCATTAACATAAGTGTGTGGATTCAAATGCATATATGCTGATGATTGTTAAGAAAATTTTTAGCTTGTTTAATGAAAATTTTTAGCTTGTCGAATAATAATTTCATGTGGCAGTAGTACATGACTAACTCGGACTTGAGGCATGTTAGCAATTTTGTGCACATTATTCTTTGATTGTTGGACAATCATAAAAAGAATATTTTGGGTATCATATTAGAGTGTATAGAGATTTATCAGTGGCCAATATAGAATTCGACATTTATTTGGATAAGTGAAATTCCAATGTTTTTCATAGTTTGCGATTCATTGACCAAATATAGAATTCGACATTTATTTGGATAAGTGAAATTCCAATGGTTTTCATAGTTTGCGATTCAACGACCTTGGTCAAGACAGAATTAATATGAATTCATAATGGAATCACTAATCAGAAATGAAATCATAGTTAATACTTAATAAATCAGTTGGATTTCCACTTATAAATCCTTACCCAAGATTTAATCGAGAAATTAGTTGTCGAAAGGATTTTACATGTATGCAAGCAGTTGAAAAGGTTTACTTTCACTTACCACTAGATAATCATGCTACTAGATAATCATGCTACTAGGTGTTACCATGATTTGTGGGTTATGAAATTAAAAAAAAAAAAAAATCAAAAATATAAATTAATTGAATTAATTAAAGTTACATATGAGTTGCAAACCCACTACTAGTGTTAGTCGTGGACTTAAAAGGGTTACATGGATTTTTGTTTTTTGGATGATGACAATTTGAAATTGGTATTTTCAACAGTTTGATTAATTTGACAAGGCATTAGATAATTTGATTATTTAATTAAATATAATTTTGATTAGATGTCAATTAAAGGAACAAAAATTGGAATGGTTAATTGGAATTTGGATATTAATTATTTAATATGGGTATTAATTAAGTAATAGTTTAATTTTAAAATTTAATTTTAATACTCAAGTCCATATATTGACATGTATGGCTAGTTAAAAGTCCGAGGAAAATTATATAAAATTTTATTTTGTATTTTACCGAAAATATGAAAAGAAGAGAAAATAGAGTTTTGACAAAGTATTAGAAAATTAGTTTCCTAAACCTTTGGTCATTATCCTTTTAACTAGTGTGTATCCCGTGCGATGCACGGATGAACTCATATTTTATTTTTGTAGACTTTATTTTAAATAGAATTGTTTATATTTTTGACATCACCTCTCATTACAGAATTAAAATAAATAAAAAAAATAAAAAAATATGTATTATTAAACACTTCTCTTTATGCAACATATTTTATTTAATGAATATTATTAAACCTTTTAATTTTGATTTTTTTTTTTATCAATTAACCAATCTATGATTGTTAATGTGCAAAAAGTAATGGAATGAATCCAAACTTTGAAGTAGAGTTATTATTTTTTTTTAACAAATCAAAACCATCCAATATTTCTTTTAAGCACTTTCATATTCACAATTTTCATATATACTTCACACCAACTTATTCAATGACCAACAATTAGTGAAATTACTTATCAAATTAGAAGAGAATCAAAAAATTATCCTATCTTTTTTTATTTGTTATTTAATTTTTTATCAGAGAATTAATAGAAATCCTATTCCCATCATATATTAAATTATTATTAAATCTAGTTACAGTAACAATTTAAAATTATTATAAAATTAAATTCAATATAACTAAAGTAACAAATTAATCAATAGAACATTTGAAATTGGGTAGAATTTTCTCAATTTGCATCATCCCATCAGAAATCTGTAAACATATCGATTTAGTATAATTTGAAGAAAAACATTAACGCAAACCAAACAACGAAACACAATAACTCTAGTTTGTCAATGAGATAAATCTGGTTAGTTAATGATTAATTATTTAAATATTATATTACTTATATTTTAAAAATATAGTTAGATAAATGTGGAAAAAAAGTTAAATTAATTAGTTTGTTAGGAATGCGATTATATTGAAGTTTTTAAGACAAAATGAAATGCACCCAAAAAATCTGGAGATATTTCCTTTAAATGTTTGAATTTAAAAATGTAATAACAAAATTTAGATTATATCACATAAGAAAAAAATAAATAATAAACGTCTATTAATATATTTAAAATATAAATTTTAATTTCAAATAAATTAATAGGTGGGATAACTCAAATTTGTTTTCAAAAAGTTTATATAGTAATAGATATCAATATATGAATATATATTTTTTTCTTAGCTATATTATATAGTAATAGATATGAATATATATTTTTTTATAACATATAATTAAATTTTAAATTCATTTATAGTTTAAAATTCTTGTTTAAAAACATGGTGAATATTTTATATGTTTCTTGTATAGATAAATTACAATGCGAAATATTCAATTCATCACATAATATTTATATAACACAACATATTAATATTTTAAAATATTGTTTAATTTATTTTCATCAATTTTGATATATAATTGTTTACTTATTCTTGTTTAAAATCATGCAGATAATAGTAACCTAACTTGTTAAAATTATACAAAATTGTCATTTGTAATTTATTGTTAAAAAAATCGAAATTAGCACGATTTTAGAGATAAGATATGGATCAAAACAAACATCGTACAATTAAGTATGGAATATTGAATTATGCCCACGATTTTAGGAAGCATCCAAAAGTTTTGAAAAAGTTAACCCGCACACCAGAATGGCATGGGCGGGATTTCTGAAAAAAAAAAAAAATAAAATAAAATAAACAAATTCCAAAAAGGGTAAAATCGAAATCCAAAAGCAGGAAAATGACCTTAAAAAAGCGGGAAAATGAATTATATATTTCAAATTTTTTGAATAGTTTTTCTTAACTGTATTATATAGTAATAGATAGATTTGAATAAAAAAAAGTTACATTTTCTCCTTGCCGCCTTTTGGATTTCTCATAAAAAGAAATATTCTCTAATCTCCTCTCCTCTCTTACTTGATTCTAAATACCAATTTAATATCGGGTAATTTCTACTGGTAAAGCGATACTCCGGAATCAAAATCCAAAAGGTGAGATTGCTTAGAGGGCAAACACGTGGACAAACAAAGACGGTGGTTGACACATACCCGGAAATCGATTCTCTCTCCTATATGAAAAAGATTAAGAGGTAATTTTCAAAATTCTTTACAAATCAAAATTTGTACTTTTTACGTGATTTTAAAGATACCGATCGTTGTAATTGCTACGTGAATTGGCGAGGTTAGTAATTATTATATAAATGTTGTTTTATTTCGTTTAATTTCCGCTGCGTTTCACCCCGTACATTATAGCGAATCCCAACATAATATACAATCCAAAAACAAAAATTTCAAGAATGTAAGAGGGTGCATTACAGTACCTTGGGCTACAAAAAACACGAAATGTGCCGTTGTTCGATAATGCATTTGCTACAGGGGCGAGTACACTGGGATAAGAACTCTGGGATTTTATGATTGAATCAGGTACTCCATTTCTAGGCCGTGCAGCTCTTCTAATTCCTAAACGCAGCTCTCCAGATTCTCCTCTGTCATGCCACACACGAGCGAAGAAAATACATACTAATTACCATCCTTAAAATATTCATATCTGTTACTCACTTCATTGGATTGAATCTTGTTTCCTTTAACCTTTTCACTTTACCCAGCCGAATTTCAAGATTGACATAAAGTTTTAAGTACTCATTTTTTTCTTTTTCAAAAGAAAGTTTCTCGAGCACCAATCCTTCCAATAAATCACAGATATGCATAAATGTTTTTAAATTAATATGCACCTAAGGAAAAGAACTGCATCACCAGACACTAGATTCTTTTGGCTGACAAATAAACTCCACCCTGTGGTGAGCAAATGCCGCCTGGGTTGGCCTACAAGAATTTTAGAAATCAAATAGTAAGAAAATACCATATTCTATAAGTTCTTAAAAGAAGTCTATACTAAATATACCTCTGTAAATGTGTCTGAATTTCCATTCCACTCCATGGAGGTCTTTGGCTACCAGTTCTTGGGAAGGCCTTTGTTCTTTGTAATCCTACAAATGTGAAGATGAAAAAATAAACTAAAGAAAGTAAACTCACGAGTGACTTATTCATAACACACTCTAGTACTAACAGTTATCTTGATTCATCAGAAATTGGACGGGTAAGGAAATTTCCGAGAAAATATATCTCTTTTTTTTTTGGGGAGAAAATATATCCTCCACTAAGACATTTACTGAGGAAGCGGAAGTACTTTTGAAAGAAGCTATTCAAAAACAAATGAACAAGTTTCTACTTCAGGAACAAGCGTAAAGAAATTGTTCACTTTTAGCTTCAAAAAGGAATCAAGCATCTCGGATTCAAATTATGCAAGTGCATAAAGGCTAAAGCAATTGCTACAAACCAGAGGAGGAAAACAATCTTCAGCTGCCCTACGAGGAACAGAAAATCCACCATGAGTGCTCGTATCAGATGCAGTTAGAGTTTTGCAGAACATGTGGGTCGTTGACTTAGCTGCCACATGTCCATTTTCTTCATCATCTTCCCATCCCACATTTTTGTCTTCTTTGCCATTGGATTTCGTACCGACTGCCTGCTTTCAAATACATGTTACTCGAAAACCAAAAATGTTTATTAACGAGATTTCTGTTTCTTTTATCCGAAAATTAGTGGACTCTTTGGAAAATTCCGATTCTTTATGAATGTTGTTGCCAGTCCCACAACTCAGCCCACACAAAATCAAAATATCATCAAGGAAGGTTATAGAGTTGGCCAATAAACAATAAGTCTTCAGTTCTTTCACTAATCAGAACACAATCACCAACATATTCATCGACGAGTTCAATACAAAGGTATTAATGGATACCTCTGACAGAGGAAGTAGAATCAGCTCAGTGTACACCTCGTCATTTTCCTTGTTAGCCTGTTTTCAGAGGAAGAAAACTATGCCAATCAATTCGAACAAAACATCCCATAAAGGGGGAAAAACAAGAAAATCAAAACCCAACTTCAGTGAAGCAAAATCAACCAAAAAGTTAAAAAGAAAATCAAAAATTGAGGAGAAAAAAAGCTATTAAAAGAGCTTACAAGTAGATGAACAGCGACAACCCGACACACGATTTGGGGAGGAAGATCGAAAGTAGGAATTTGTAGTGGAGAAATTTGTGTAGAGGAGCAAACTTGTTCCAAGTGACCTTGAGGTAAATACACCACAGCCTCACCTTTCTTTGGCAAGCTGGTTAAAGGA